CAACACTTCCTAGCAAAGCATGTGCACTTAGAAGGTTACATGATGTGGTGAAGTGAAGTGAAGTGTGATGCAGGAAACCTGGCAAATTCCGGCAGCAATGGCTGCTTGGCTGTCGTGCAGGCCTGACTGGTTAGAGTCTTTGGTTCTTGGTCCTAAAACCGGGCGATGTCCCATTCTGTGAATCAGTAGTGGGATATGAATTGATGCTGACACAGACGCATGGCATGGCACATTGCTTGCACAAAAAAGTTTTTTGATGCAGGCCTGCAGCTCCTGTATCCAGCGGCAGCGCATGCGCAAAGACACAAAAAAAGACTCAGACTCATATAGCAGCAGTTTTAGATGTGTGTGCAACAACGCAGGAAGTGTAAACAATAAGCCTTGAACGTGCGGAAAAAAACAACGATGGAACTATTGAACATAGAATAGTTATATGCGGTGAATGTGTTGAATAAACAACACTGAAAGCGTGGAAAATGTGCGGTGAATGTGTGGAAAAACAACGGTGGAAGTGTGGAAAATGTACAGGAAAAGTGTGGAAAAACATCGTTGGAAGTGTGGAAAAAGTACAGCTAGAGCGTGGAAAAACAGCATTGAAAGCGTGGAAAATCAGCCCTTGCCACAGAACTTTATGAATAGCATAAGTACAGAAATATGTCATAAAGAACAAGTGGTCGAGGGCCTCCCCAATATATATATATATTATGTGTTTGACTTACTGCCCTTGCCAGGACAGTTGACCTTGAAGGTTTTTGCGTGTCAGTGGAATTGGAGGACGTTTTGCGTGGAAGAAGTGCTTTAAAACACTCCAAGTGCAGAGATAAGCAAGGTCTATGTTTGTCACACACACACATTTCCCGACGAAGTGGCAGAACATGTCACCACAAAACAATGTAAACAACTTGATAGCCAGCAAGAGTGTGTTCACGATTCGCCCATTGTGCGATGCAGTTCTTGCGCCTTTGTTAAGCATTGCACAGGGTGAGGCTGCATGAGAGATAAACACCATGATAGAGAGTGGTGGAACATAGGCAAGATGTGGCCGCGGAAGATGCAGATGCGCTGTGACTAGGGCACAAAAAATAATCTAAAAAAGTCGCTTTCAAAGTCGTTTCTAAAACAACGGAAGCTGACCAGACACGTAGGATAGATACGATCCTAGATTCTTCACCTTCAAGAGGTGAGCCGGATCAGCTGCGGGGATCCAATCAAGAGAGAAACACCAACCGGGGCTTACTTAGTGCTCTTAGCTGCAGCACGAGAAAAGCTGACCGAAATAAACGCAAGCGACTGAACCGGCAACAGTACAGAGAATTCGGGACTTGGTACGAAAAGTACATTGCAAAACGGAAAGCCCCCAAACCGCGTTTGCGACAGCAAAGAGGTCGGTGCAGTTCCAAAGTCAGCCACACCGATTCGACACGTGCGAAAGACCCTGTTTCACCTTTTCAAACAGTCGCAAGTTGTCAGAAAGCAAAGGTCGTCTAATTGAGATACAATAAACCTCTCGGAGTAACATTTCATTCAAGATGTTAGACAAGTCTCAGGGAGATTAATTTCAATCACATTGAGATCAAAGGGCAGGAACTTGTGTTTCAGTTCATGTTATGCGCCGCATAGCGGCCATGATATAGAAAATAACATTTTGTTTTACCAAGAAGTGCAAACATTCATATCCGCAAAAACAAAAGGCACACAATTTTTAAGGAGGAACCTGCGCTGGGACGTTCTATTTTTGGTAGAGGCCCTGACTATCTAGAGCAAGTCGCAGATTGCACCCTTGAGAATCGATTGCTGTTTCTCAACCACTGTTTGCAGGAAGGCCTCAGCGTCTTGAACACTTTCTTCAAGAAACCCCCAGAAAAGTATTGGACATTCACAACTGAACACGGCCCAGAGTGGACTCCTTGGAGGCATGCGCAATTCGATTTCTGATTGGTTGCGGATAAACGGCGTAGAAGCTGTACAGACGTGACAGCTAGAACCGACATTTTCTTCCCTTCGGACCATTACTTAGTTGAAACTTGTGTTGTCATCAGATTGCAAGCTCAAAAGCCGCCTAGATCAAGAGCGCCAAAATTTCGACAACCAACCCAGATAGAATCCAACAGATTCAACGACCTGCTGCAGAGCAAGCTGAATGAGTTCTTGCCAAGTTCAGATATCGCTTGGAGTGAAATCTCCAAATGCACGCTAGAATGCTAGAAGTTGCAAACAAAACCCTGACACCCGTAGACAGGAAACAGAAACAGGATTATATCTCCGAAGAGACATGGCAGAAAATTGTTACTAGACAAACTGCTCATGAGAATTGGAACCTGCTGGCTGTCAGGGATCTTTCGTTACAAATCAAGCACATGGCTCGCAGGGACAAGCGACATGCTGTTTTGGAATCTATTGAGAAATCCCTCATTATGAAGAAAGGTCCCCACCCCAGGTTCATTCACATGAAGAATCTCGATGGTGAATTTTGTGGCCCCTAAAGATAGAGCAGAAGCAATTGCCACGTATCTCCAGGACAAACATTGGACAAGCCGCACTAATGTGCCTGTCGAAAATTCTGCGATCATCCAAGACCTTACGGATCAGTTTGATACTGGACATTTCACTATGGCTGAGTTTGATGCGGCCCTGGCTACGACCAAGATGTATAAACAACCAGGACCTGACAAAATCGTCATGGAACTATTCAAGTGGATGAACAATGAAAACAAATCTGGGTTCCTGAGGCTGTTAAATTTCTGGTGCCTTCTAGGAGCACTTCTCACGCCTTGTTCCTCACTCGAAGAATGCAAGATATCTCGGAACAACAAGGTTCTAACCTAATTATATATATGTAACTTTTCTTGATTGGGAGAAGGCATTTGACAAGGTACAGCATGATCAATTATATGTGGCGCTACGTAGACTTGGAGTCCATGAACATTTCATAGATGTGATAAAGAATTGTTATTCAGACCCGTATTTCTTTGTCGAAGATGAATTTGGCACATCCTCAACTAAACGGCAGACGGCCGGAATCAGACAGGGCTGCCCTCTATGTCCTTACCTTTTTGTGCTGGGAATGAGTGTAGTTGACCATGATAGTTCTCATAGTCTTGATAGGCGCACCATTAGGTCAAGAAAGGTTGGCATTGATTTTGATAGAGTCTACTACGCCGATGATGCTGTTCTGCTCGCCACTAATACTTACGCTGCCAACCGAATACTTTGGGCCGTAGAAAGGATTTCGAAGCAGTTGGGACTCCTGCTTAAATGTTCATATACAGCGATGAATGGAAACAACGTGATCAGATTTGCTGATGGGACCAGACTTACGCAATGCTCTGAATGTACGTACTTGGGACATCACATCACCCAGTCATTGAATGTAAGACAGGAAGTGGGTCAAAGAATGCAGCAAGCCATGAAAACATGGTTCAAACTCAAACCATCCTGGCAAGCAGCAAATTGCACCCCTAGATGGAGGCTTCGTGTCTATCATGCGGTAATCTAAAACAAACTTATTTATGGGTTGGACACCGTTCACCTCAGCCAAAGCATGTTATTTTTTTTTCAATTTCCATTGCCTTAGAAGGTCTCTCTTCCGTGGCGTCTTTGCACCTAATTTACGCCCCTTGCAGTCTCTGGGTTGAAGTCCGGTCCCTGCTTAGCCTCCATATTAAACTCAGCCATCAGGTTCTGAACATAGTCAGAAAACTCGTCAGGGTGGGACTTCAACCCAGAAGGCGGCAGCATATGGTGAAAAACAGCCGCAAGTGCTTTACAAAGGCCAGCCCAAAGCATGTTAAAGAAAATACTGTAAATGCATTTCACCTTCGTGGCCCGAGATCGATTTTGGGACTGGAGACAACTTTTGTCAATCGAAGAAGCACAAATGAGTTTGTCTTGAGAACTGCTTCTGAACACGCTAGACAACAAATCCAGTTGTTTTCGGACCCCCCTCAAAAAGAGAGCTGCATTAGCTGGACATATTCTTGGAACTCATAATATTAAGACAAGTCACTTATGCGCCCAGTTCTGCAAGCGGTTTTCCCATTGGCAAGAGCAGGGTTGGAGGTCCGAAACAGCAATGGCGCCATTGCACACACAACATCTGGGATAACTTTTCGGACGAACGGACGGAGTATGAAAACACGGAAAGGCAAAACCAAATGTATCAGATGGCTCGCACGCGGAAATTTTGAAAGCTGCCGCATCGCGGGCCTACGGACACTTTAGTGCCCACGGCAGAAAACATGATTTGTTAGTACCAATGTGTGCAGACTAGTTTCAAATGGCACCCTTCTTTGTGCAACGAGGCGCTTGTGCAAGGTGCTGTTTGACTCTTTTGCCGGGCGCGGTGCTGTTTGCAGGACAGTCGAGTTGTCGAGGGCTTGAAGTATGACCAGGTGCGCAGAGGTGCTAAGCAGGTGCTGTAGCATTCAGCCAAGGTTAGTGAATGAGAGAGCAGGACCTTTGAAGATCTCCTGGAATTCATTGATCCAGGTGTGCAAGATTGAGGACAGCTGAACGTGCAAATTTCTGGTGGGATGGCTGGTTTCACAGGAGGTGACACTGTGTGACGCTTCGAAAATGTTTATAGCAGCCTTACCACAAAAAACATCAAAAAACTGTTGGCCAGTGTTTTGTATCACTGGAGAACGGGGTCAGTCGCTGCAGAAAATATAACTGGCTCCAGGGTTTAGATTTTTGGCAGGTGAGTGAGTCTTGTGTCACAGCTGTTGGATTCAGCAGGTGAGTTTTACAGTACATGCGCACGTTCTTGTTTGCTGCATTTGTGGCTCCAGTTGACCCAATAGAGGTCCTAGCTTCTAGGCCACGAGGTCCAGGAGCACCTGTTGGTCTTTGTTGGCCTTACCTGTGGCTACTTCAGGTCCAGCCTGTCAGGCCCAGTCTGTGAGATGGGTGATGAATCATTTTTGCGGCCGCTTGCCGCTGCAGCAGCAGCCAAGGCAGCGGCAACGATGCCGTTCGATATCAATGACGCCCATTCTCCGATGAAGGTTCCGGTGCCCAGTGAGGGCACTGGCAGAGGCAAGAAAGGAGGTGGGCGCGGAGGAGGAGGAGGGAGAACTCCACATCGGAAGGCTCCAGCACCACAGCCACCACCGCCCCCATCCTTCCAGCAAGCAGAGTGGCCAGATGTGGCATCATCTCCTTTTCAGCAGGCGATCCCCCCAGCATACGGCATGACAAGTGGAATGGCATATCCACCTGCGCCTGCGGCTGGCATGCCGGCCCCGTATCCAATGGCATGTCCTCCAATGCCCATGTACGGCATGATGCCTTTCATGCCTTATCCACATCCAATGCAATACATGCCAGGAATGCCAAACCCCGTTCCAGCGCAACCACCTGAAAAAAGTCGAGGCAAGCAAGGCACTCAAGGAAAGGCTTCCCAGAGAGGTGGCGAAGGCGTTAACAAGAAGCGCCGCGGCAAAGCCAAAAGCAAAGATGGCAAGGGCGAAAATCCGTCCGACTTGGAAGCCAATCCCAATTGCAGTGAGGAGCTCTTGGCTGTACGCAGTGCCCAAGGAAATGGCGTCAAGGCAAAGCTCTCATTTCAGGAGGCGCTTGCGGAATCTAAGGGATCAAAAGGAGAAATCACAATGAGAGAGACAGGGAACAGAATGGGTTGGGGCTCTTTCAACAAGGCCGCTTTTCAGGATGCTTCATTCAAAAGGCCAAAACACATTCAAAAGGCCAAAGCACATTATTTTTTAACAAGTCTTTCTCTTTTATATACGATATGACTCCCAGTGTAGTGGGCCTTTGCGCGCGGCCTTTTTCCCTATTTTCCTTCGTGTTATCATCCGCCAATTCATTGCAGCCTCAGTGTGGTTTTCCCAAACTGGATCACCCACATGACTTATCCTCCTCGTACTCGCCTTCGACCTGATCCTACAACATCAGAGCTACCTGCATTAACCGCGAGCTTTTGTCTATGTTTTTCAGGTCAGCAGATCATCACACCTGTTTGGCGGTGTAGTCGAAATCAGCTCCTGGGTTGAGTTGGCCACAAGGGTCAAAACGCCATAGGATGTGCAAGGCATTATCAAAAACATGCCCCCAGACTGCGAGGAACTGCCACTACTCGTTGTGGACAGTGAAGCCAGTTGGACATTGTGAAGTTGTTGCATCGACAACTGCGCAGGTCTTGCCTCACCTTCTTGAATTCGCTCAAGACCAGCATGGAAGCCGCTTCTTGCAAGGGAAGCTGGATGAAGCTAGCCCAGAAGAAAGTCACTTGGTTGCAAGACTTCCTCAAAGTTATCAAAGGATGCCCCGCATTTGGTGTTGCCGTGGTGTCTGCACCAAGGGCAGCAAGCATTCTCCGTGATTTGTGCGGATGATGCTAATCCGGATGCAGTGTCGTTGGCGAAAGATGTGAGTGGCAACTTTGTGGTGCAAAAGCTTTTTGATATAGGCGACACATGCGTTGTGGTGTTCAGCATGTGGATGTTATTGTGTAGAATTGACACTCAGACGCTCAGCCCATTTAAGCTAGAATCTAGAAAGCATCCCGACAGGAACGCAGGAACAGAAGAAGAAGCTGGCCGAAAAGCTGCAGCCTGAAGTTGCAAGTTTGTCGAAAGATAACTATGGATGCCGAGTTGTGCAGAAGGCGATATTTTGGTCCTCAAAGAATGTCTTATATACATAGAAATCTAGACCAAACCGCAGACTGCCCAGTTCACTTGCAAATCGGAAGGCCATCGGTGCGGTCTCCAAAGATTTGCAAGTAATGCTGGCCTCATCTTTGCAGAGTAATGTCACTGACTGCATCACTAATATGCCGCCCGACTCAGTTGACCAACTCCTTGCTCTTGATTGTTTTCTTAAAATGTGATTTGTTTAGTTTGGGATTTCAGAGTTTCTTATTCAGAAATAGCATTTTTGCACTGTTTCTTTGCCGTGCCTTCGGTTTTCTCTCTTTTTTGGTTTTGTTTTGTTGCTTGTAAGAATGCAAGCCAATTGCAAGCAAAAGAGTAAGGAGACAAGGGAGGAAGGGAGGAAGGGAGGAAGGAAGCAAGGAGGGAAAACAACTTATGTAGTTCTTGGTTGGTTTGCTTTTGGGGGACATGTGGCACATTTTGACACTTTGTAGACTGCCAAAAGTGCTGCAACTGTAGCTGAAGGTGAACACAGGAGGCCCCAAATGCTGTCCATGGATATGTGCACAAATGACCACACGAATAACCACACACAATACACAGATGCAATTTTGAGGGCGGCGCAAAATCGAGCAACATAATCCAAAAGCCAAGCGCCCAAGCATCCTTCTCGATGCTGAGACGCAGTATTGGATGCAAGGCAAAAAATACTGGCAAAAAACGATCTTACAAGTTCTTGAAGGAATCCAGTTCCCACGCTTTTTGAAACTCTTTGCTTTGTTCAAACTTCGACTGGAGTCAGCGGGGTTTGTAGCACTTGACGAGGCACGGGAATCACGTGGTGCAAAAGTGCATTGAGCAAATGCCTCCTGACTCTGTGAGCTTCATTATCCATGCAGTGCCTCAGATGCTTAGTAACAAGAAGCTACTAGTAACAAGTGCATCGCTACTAGTAACACGGGCCTTACTACTAGGAGCAAGAAGCAACTAGTAACAAGCAGATATTGCATATTGCAAGGAATGAAGGTACAGACTCACAGGACCTAAGATGAGGGAAGCGCTGAACCAAATCCAAATTCTCAGGTGCAGAGTGATACGGCGCAGCTTGACTCGCACAATGATAGCAAGGATTGGCAGGATTTTTGTACGGACTCCATAGCTATTTCGTAGCTGTTCGGCAGCTTTCCAGCTCTTTGCTGCTCAGGGCGCTGGCTTCTCATATCTATGGCTGTCGTGTAATCCAAAGGCTTCTCGAGCACTGTGCATCTGGACAACTTACGGCACCTAGGCTTGCAAAATGGATAGCACGGCCTAGCACGGTTGAAACAAGGGCATTGTCAACAACTTTCAATGCCAGGAGATGCTGGACAGGATTCTAAGCAACATCGAAGTCCTGTCTAAGAACCAGCTTCTAAGCAGCAGCTTTCCACGGCAGTTCTGCTGTGTAGCAGAGTTTATCATGAGTTTTCTTCCGCTCTCATTCGGAATCGCCATCCCGTAGTGCTGTATAGGTTTGGCAACTATGTTGTTGCTCGGCGTGAAACATGGAGTAGAGGTTGAACTTGCATGCCAAATGCCGAATGCCTCATCAATGAAGTGTCTACCGTATACTCGTCTTGTTTAAAGAGGTGTGACGTGTGTGGTTCCCGTTCGCTATCAGATCAAAAGTCTTAGGTGCAGCATATGCTGGAGCATGGCCGCATCCAGGACAAAGAGCGGATCATCGATGTAGTCAGGGCTAAGATCTTGGATTTTGCAATGGACAAGCATTCAAGCTCAAACCTCAGCTTGTGCAAGTTGGCGGCAGCATTGGAACAACAAACTTACAGAAGAAACCTGTGGCAAGCAGGAGAGCGAAACAACTTGTTTGGCTGGCTGAGGCAATGTCGCCACTTTCCCGCGCTTGTTCCCATGAGATTTTGCAGCAATTGGCCTTGGAGTACACATCTGGTTTCTCTGACACACTGAGGTTGAGAAGTGCTTTGAGGCATCAACTATAGGAGAGCATGCAAAGGAGCTTGAGGGCAAACGTGCTCAACTTGTTGATGCAGTGCTGGGGCAACCTGGTGACGTCAACAGCCACTCACCTCAAATTCAGCGAGCTATTTGACGGCCTGTTTTTGTGTGGTGTGACATTGAACGGTTCATCAAAGAGACAAAAATCATCCAGCTTTCTATCCTTGTCCGCTTTCCTGTGGCCTCTTCAGGGCAAAAAGGTCGCCGATTCGCCAGTTTTTATGCCGGCAGCACATGACACACACATACAGGACGATTCTAAATGTACCTAGTTCTGATTGCTTGTCACCTTGCCTGTGGCTGCCTTGCAATTGCCACGCCGTCCCCCGCAATTCCTTGGGTTAAAGGATTTGGTGAGTGCCATCACATAGCTCTGTGTGATAGAACCATTGCCGTAACTTGCAGGGCCACTGGTTTGTGGAGTTTAAGAAGTCAACCTTGAAGTATACGTGGTTAAGTGTGGCTATGGCATATAACTTTGCCTTGGTCCCGGGCAAACTAACAGGCTCACCAGCACTTTTGGAACTCAATCCTTGTTAATTTGGCTGACCCAGGCCCTTTGTGCGAGATGATGACCCACAGGCTTGTGACTTTCACACTTATATAGGTCACCAAGAAATTGGAGTAGGCGTTTGACAGTTGTCTCTGAGTTCTTCCCTGCAGGTATGGCAACTATGTTGTTCAACGTTTGATGGAGCATAGCCGTGGAACAGAGAGGGAGCGGATCTACCGCACATTGAACTCACTGCCAATTGATTTCAAGCTAGGCCCTCAGCCTCCACCTAGGCCTAGGCCAGAAACAGGAGAGAACGAGAAGCCCAAAGTTTAACTTTGTATGTGATGCTCATGATTCCCTTGCAACTGATCCAGGTCACATCAGCATGGTATGCACATTATGAACGCCTTGCAGAAGGCAGGTGGGACGATATGATCAACCTGCTGCATTGCTTTGCTGTTCGACTGTCGGCCCTGTGTGGACGTTAGGACTTCAAAGAGTTCAATCCCGATGGATATGCTCAAGGCTGAGTCAGTGACGGCGGCGAGCCTTCAGGAGCGACCTGCAATGTGATCGAGGTGACGATGAAGCATGTGCATGCGTGCAATCAATGCATACATCCGCAATCGTGTGTATCACATGCAATGCACGTGCACACATGATCCTTTTCTGGGATTGGGAGCGATGCGGGATACTCAAAGGGATGCGCAGATTTGGCACGTATCTCTATTAGATTGGAGGCCATCGCCAGTGGGTTCGAGGCCATGGCTATTGGGTTGGAGGCCATCTCTATTAGGTTGGAGGCCATCGCATCTAGGTTGGAGGCCATTGCTTCTCTTTTTGCTCAGGACTGATTTGGTGTACAGACTGGGCTGATGGCTCAAGGTGGCCCAACTGGCCTATGGCATTCTACAATTCATACGAGGAGACTACCTTGTATATGTACTTGTGGTGTTGGAAGTAATTGAAACTTGCCTCAGAAGGTTCAATCATAGGTCCTCAACCCAGCATGGAGCCTAGTGGTGGCTGAGAATGGATCCTACATTCTCAGCTCTCCACGGATTGGTGTACAGACTTGTACAAAGACCACACGCCTTCACTGGACAAGAATTCGCCTTGTAGATCCAAATCATTGCCCTGTGTATGCCCTGTATATTATGTGGCTGGTGCTGCGCGACGGCTGCTAGCATGGTCTGTTTTCTTCGGAGAGTACTTATGGCTTTTGCAGTGGTTTTACTCCGGGCCTACTATGTTGCAGCAACCATGCGCACACCTGTGATCCATCACGTGGGCACAATGGCCGTGCATGTTTTGATGTATTCTGTGAAGTAGCGCACGCCATTGCACTTGATGTCCATGAAGGCAGCCATGGGCCAGGAAGACTCGCATTCCGCATTCCTGCTGTCGTGTCTACAAGCAGGCCTCCTAGAAGTGAAACTGACGGGGCTCGAAAACAAGGTGACAACAGATTCATGAACATGCGCGCTTAGAGGGGGAAATGCAATGAAGTGAAGATGAAGATCAACATGAAATTCACATCAGACCCCCCGCAAAATGCACATGTTCATGAAGCGAAGATGAAGTTCATGAAACGAAGATGAACGTGAAGTTTACGAAAGGAACATGTTGACGTCGATGATCCAGCTGACCTTCTTTCCCGGTAAACAGAACGTCATGATCGTTGTGTGGTCACATGCTACAATGGTACTGCAAAACACCATCGACATCTCAAACAACACGGGCTTTTACATTACCGCCAACAATGACCTGTGAGGCATGAACCGATGACTCAATCCTTGCTTGCCTTGCAGTTTTCGAGTCTATTTGCTTAGAGCCTGAATCATCACACGAGGCGTAACCAATGCCACTTGTACAATATAAGTCGTGGTTCGAACTAGAGATGTCACAAGCTGATGCAGCGCACTTTTGGGGTTTCCGCGTTTGGGACGAGTTTGGCCTGGCTCTAGGCGATATGAACCGCAGGTTGACAGTGCCCGACCTGCGTCATGTAGGCCCAGTTGGTGCCCCGTGCACCTGCACAGGGAGGAACATGTGAAAATAGCAGCTGAACAAGTTGTGTGTTTCCTCAAGTGATATTGATTGTTTGACACCATGTAACTGCTTCCATTTGAGAGTGAGTGTCATCTTGGCATCTCTCGGATTTGTAAGCTTTGGCCCACTGATGAGAGCAGCTGAAACATCATTCCATCGGACCCTTGCAATGGTCTTGTGCATGTCAAGATGCCACCAAGCAGCCCGAATATGTCATACAGTTCTCTTGTTGACAACATTTTCCTTGTTACAGATTGGGGAGGCATGGCTAGGTCGGCTAGGTTGGCAATTGCAGCCGCCGACTTGCTGGAAACAGACACTTAAGCAGAGCGGTTCAAGAAGCCTTGAGAAGTTCAGCACATCCCTGTCTTTGAAAGTTTATCGACTTGTTTCTCACATGGACTTGCCATACCTGCGCGCACTTGGCTTGCCTATTTGTCAGAACCATTTAGAAGAGACTCCGTCGGCTTCGACCCTCCAGGGATGGACACGATTGCAAGAACAGATGCGTGCTCAGTTGAAAGATGTGGACGACCCGAATTGGGGGCGCCCGCAATCCTACAGAATTGGAGGTTTGGACATTAGCTTTGAAAATGGTACGAACAGAGCTACCGCCGTATTGGTCGTTTGCGAGCTCACTGGCACATCGCTGATTCAGATTTATGAAGATGCAGTGGATGTAGACATGAACTTGCCATATGTTTCTGGTTTTTTGTTTGTCCGGGAACTTCCAGCATATGAAGTCTTGCTGCAGCGATTGAGGGAAAGCGCTCCAAAAATTGAACCTGATGTTTTCCTTGTTGATGGCTCTGGAAAGTTCCACCCTCGTGAGTGTGGTTCGGCGTCTCATTTTGGCATTTTGCACAATCTGCGGACGATTGGAGTTGCCAAAAAGCTGCTGTGCTTCGAAGACTTTGACAAGCGAGCTGGTGAACAGGTTGAGCAGCAGATTCTACCAAACTTTGGTGACGATGTTCCATTGATAGGTTCGTCTGGACGTGTTTATGGACTTGCGCTTCGCACCGCGCATCCCGGCAAGAAGGAGGATGCGAGTTCACGACGCATATATGTGTCCATAGGGCATCGTTTTTCATTGGATACAGCGAAGCAGGTTATTCTGAAATGCTGTGATGTTGGAGGCTCTTACATTCCAGAACCAATAAGGCTTGCAGACCTTACAGGCCGAGCAATTGAGCGAGCGTGGAAACAAATGCAGTCAACAACGGACTTAGACGTCCCCAGACTTCGACAAATGGCCATGGATATATCTAACCTTTTGGACAACAAGCAGCGCAAGACTCTATCAGGAATGCTGGAGGAAGCCAAACTAGATCCCCGAGAGCGGCTGACTAACGTTCAACCACAGCACCTGAAGCGAAAGCAGTCGACTATCGAAGATTTGTTCTTGCCACTGCAGGAGCACGTTGGTTTTTTAGCTATATATATATATACACACATGGAGGGCTATTTTGTCGGGGACATTTTTGTGTTGCGTTTAGGGAGTTTTTGGTGGATCTGCTTCTTATTGCTTTTCTGGCGTTTGATTGCTTCTCTATAATTTCTTATGTTTCTTCTTGCTTGTTTTGCTTTTCCTCGCTTTTCCTTGCTTTCCATTGCTTCTTTGTGGTTCGGTCCAGCTTTTCCTGCTTTTTTGTGCTTGTCTTGCTTTCCATGCGTTTCCTTTGCTTTTCACTGCTTCCCTGATTTCTAATCCTTTTCTTGCTTTTTCTGTTTATTTTTTGGAGCTTGCTTTGCACATTCTTTTTTCTCATCATTTCCTTTACTTTCCTGCTTCTTGTTCTCTTGTGGTATATTGTTTCCCTGTTTTAAATTCGTTTGCTTTCTGTGGCATTGTTGCCGTTGCTTTTTATTAGTTGCTGTATTCCAGTTTTTCTGGCTTTCTATACTTTTCCTACTCTTGTTTGGTTTCTTGTCTACCGATTGTTGTGTTGTTTTTCACCATGAGGGACAACCCAAAAGCATCATGTAAACAGATGCACTTGTCTCATGTTTGTTCGCGTTGCGGGCGGAATTTTTGTTTTTGCCTTGTGGTCCAGTTGGTTAGCACATTTTCCCCAGATAGCGTGAGTTATTGGGGTTCTTACTTCAAGTGTATAGGACGAGCTGCATGTGTGCGTTTTCGAACCTGGGTGCTGGTGCCGCTGCAGGGTGCCGCTGCTTCATGCGCTTGGAAGCTTGGGTGCTGGTGCCGCAGGCTGCGGCTGCTGCTGCTGCCGCCGTGTAAGGCTCGGTGCGCTTTGGAGGTGCCGCTGCAGGGTGCCGCTCGGGGCGCTGCTGCGATATGTTTTTGGCTTGTGCGGTTGGAAGTCAGGCCACAGAAACCTGTTTTTTCTGTCTTGGGTCTATGCTGGCATAATTTTTTGGGAGGCACAGAGGCCCTGCACACCCTGAAATAATCATAGAAAGCGGCCTACTGGGCACTCATTCTACAAGCAGCTAGCTTTCCACTTACACTGGGGGAACTAGAGAGTACCACGGCCACACAAAAATCCTCCAAACGCAACGCAAACCATCACCAAATAAATATATACACTGTATATATAGTTTCTTCCGTTTGTGCTATCAGAGAGCCGGCGGGCTTCGATCCAGAGTCCTAGATGTTGTGTGCAATTGGATGTTTGTAGGACATGTGCCCTGATGCCGAAATCAGTGCTGTGCTGGCAGCATCTTGGCTGGTCTTGGTGGGGGCCCCTTTCTTTGTGTGATTTGCACCGGCGCACAGCAAGCATGGGGTTCAATACTTAGGTCTTTTGCATTCTTGTCGTTACTGCACAACTTGTGCAGACGTTTGGCACACAAATGCTAGAACTTTTGTTTATAACGTGCAATGTAACCTATGTAGCTATTTGTAGGCCCTTCGGATGGAGAAGCCCTGGGCCTTGGCTGTTCTCAAAGAGCCATTGCGCAATCAACCGGCAGGGAGGGCCATGCGGCCAGCTGTGTTAGACGCTTCGAGCCGCTAGCAAAGCTTGAGCAGAATCCATGCAGCCTCATACGTACAGGAAGGCTTGAGGGCGATGGCTGGCTTGAGGAAGGTTGGCACGGTCGTTGTACAGAAGTTTCTCAAGGGTGCCGCTAGAAGCAGCACCTGCTCATACCACCAACCGAACCCAGCAGGTTACTGGCAAACCGCCCCAGAGCCAGCATGTGTCTTAAAAAAGGAATCAAGTAGCTCCGGCAGCTGTGGGGTTGGACATTGAGTCCGCGGCACGGGCAGTCCAAAATTCCGTGTGTTGACTGCTTGACTTCAAGGCTCAAGGAGTTCGGTAGCTGCGGGCTGATGTGCATTGCAACTTGCCTTATGCTGTGTTGCTGCCGCCCTTGAGCTGTACCAGTTGATGAATGTAGCCGCCCCCGTTTGGTGCATCCTTGCTGTGGCCTGTGCCAGACTTGGGGAGTGCCTTTTCCTCCGACAGTCTGACGCGCGGGATTTCTATCCACAGCTCGCGCCTTTGCT